TTATTATTTCCCTTAAAACTCCGCTCCTCTCATCAAGTTGCATTCATTACATTGCTATTACCATACTGGCCACTCACGTTTGGTCGCTAAGACTCCTCCACAAAAAGTAACTGAATGACGTCAGCGTATCGCTTGTCAATTTCGCGGCGCTTTAGCTTACCGGCCGCGGTGAGAATCCCATTCTCAGGCGTCCATTCATCGTCAATAAAACGAACATGACGCACACACTCGAACTTCTGCCGATTCGCCTTCCGCGCCGTTGCCTGCATGGATTCCGTGGCCTTGCGCTGGAACTCCGGGTCACACAAAATATCAGGATAACTGCATTCAATACCCTGCTCCCTCGCAAAGTTCACCACCTTTGCCTCATCAGTCAGTACCAACGCACAAATGTACGAGCGAGCAGGATGGACAAGCACGCACACACCGTTTGGCATGCAAAGTACGTTGTGTGCGTACATCGACTCCAACGCCTCCATCGCAATGTACTCGCCCAGCACATTCTTCGCCAGCGCCTTCACACGGCCGATAATGCGGAGAGAACCATTCGCTGTGATGCTGCCCACGTCACCTGTGTGAAACCACCCATCCTCGTCGATGGCCTCCCGCGTAAGCTGCTCCTGCTTGTAGTACCCCTTGAAGAGAAACGGGCCACGCAGCAGAAGCTCCCCTCGTGGTTCCGGCGTGTCTGTGTGCTTGTACTCATCCACGTCAAGAAGACGCATCTCGCAGCTGCGCTCTTGTTGACCCGCCACAATGGTTTCAATGTCGCCACGGAGCTGCTTTGTCCCCACACACACCGTCTCTGTGAGGCCCCAGCCCTGAACCATCAACCCAAAGACGACATTGAGAAACGTCTGCGTGGGAGCGCTGATGGGCCCACCAGCTGACAGCATGGTGCGCATCTTCCCACCCAGTATCGGGCGAAAGAGGCCAAACACCACCTCGTTCCAGTACGGCGTCTCCATTCCACTCTTTAGCGCCTTTAAACGGCTGTGAAAGGCGTATTCGAAGATGCGACGCTCCAGAGAGCCACGTGGCGCAAGCTGCGCCTCGACAGTTTTCTTGATTGTGTCAAAGACGCGTGGCACACCTATGGTGAAGACGGGTTTGTATTCAGCGTAGTCTCCATGCGGGCGCGCATACGTGTCGAGAAGAGTGCGAGGAGTGCCAAAGCCAACCAACGATCCCCGCGCCAAAAAGATGTTGGCAATGCCAAACTCAAAGATGTGGGCAAGTGGAAGATAGACGCAGTACGCCTCTCCCATCTGAAATGGGCCAATGAGGTCGTTCAGACAGTCGGCACATGCCAATACGCCAGCGACAAGGGAGCCGTGTGTGTGAATCACCCCCTTTGGATCCCCTGTGGTGCCGCTTGTGTACATGACGAACGCCAGTTTATCGTTGTCCGTTGGTATTCGCAGAGGCTCCTCCGAAATGCGACCGTTGTCTATAACATGATACCAGGAGATTACGCGGTAGGTGCCTGTATCGAGGTCCGGTGGCAGCTGCCCAATATAAATAATAGACATAGGCGGGATCACATGTCCCCGCATCATCTGCAGCAGACTTGGCACAGACTTCGCGCTGCATACAACGGCAGCACTTGCAGTCTCCCTAAACACGTACGCCAAGGCGTCCTCACCCAGCGTGGCGTACACCGTGCAGGCCACCATGCTCTGGGACCAAATACCGTAAATCGTCGCCAGCCACTCCCAACGTGTCTCCTCATAAATGGCAATGTTGGCGTTCGGCTGAATCCCGAGCTCCACCAGGCCACGCCCAAACGCCGTAATATATCCCCAAAGCGTGTCAAAGTTAATGTACTGGGTCTCCGAAAAGTAGTTGATGGTATACATCCGTTCCACGCCATGTGTGTCCTTCAAAACCTCCCTTGAGGTGCGCTGTAACGGACGGTAACCAAAGGCGTTACGACTCCCACCTCTCTCACAGATGTTCTTGAATCGCTGAGGCATGTTGTCACCATAGTACCACTCGCGACAGATTTTTTCGTGTTTCTCGTCGTTTATGCCACAGTGACGGTAAATGGCTGACGCATTGTTTGTTTCTGTCCCTGGTAGAGGGTTGTTTTGGGCCCCGTACTGCCAAACCCGCTGAATGTCCTCGTGGGGCACCATGCGGCGGTTGTTCTCCTGATCCATGAGGGAGAACAAAGAGGTCTCCAAAAGTTTCATTCCCGTCAATGTGTTCATTTTGCTTGGAATCTGGCGTGGGGTGTAATGTTTAACTCCCTTTTTTTTTTGTTTCGTTGTTGTTGTGGTTTTGGTTTTGGTTTTGGTTTTGGGCCCTAGTTTTGCTTCTTCTTGTACTGTCTTCTCTTCCTCGTCTCAAACAAAGGATGGCGATGTGGTGACGGCGGAAAACAGCAGCTGTAAGCACCCTTCCCCGCATGTCTGCGGTACAACACCCGCAGCACCCGCGCCTGTACTTGGTGGGAGGTCCAGTCTCGTACAATATTGCGGCCATTCTTATTGGCGTACTCTCCAACGCCGTCATTACTTTTTTTAAAAAATCATTATTTTTTCTTCGCTTTTTTCCCCCTTGTTTTATGTGCTTCTCAAGATTGTCCTTCCGCATGTTGTTGTTGTTGTTTTTTTTTCCGCTTGAGTTTTAGTTTTTTTTTCTTTTTTGAAAGCATCTGTATGTACGTATTTAAATTCATATGTAGTTTCATCTTCATTGTCCTCTATTCGTTTCCCGCAGCCTGCACCACCACCACCACCACCTCTTCGCTCCCTCCTTCGTGCACTCGCACCCGCCCCCGGATCGGGAGCACACCAAGAAAGAATCACCGCAACAAGCATAATAAAGCGAAGCAAACCTGCTCGCACCTTCGCCGGGCCACACACACAGCAACAAAACAACTTAAAAAAAAAAAAATAGTGGGCGGGCAACAACGGCCCCAGCATGCATATATATATATATATATATATATAAGTTTATACATCCTGTTCAAAGTGTCAATATCTGTAAGTGTGAATGCCTGTACCCGAAAAATCACAAGAGTGAAGAATCCCCAGCACCAAAAACCACACCATTAAGTGTAAAAGGGAAAAATCAGTGCCTGGATATAAGTACGCATGCATACAATGACATTCGGCTCAAAAAAAGACAAGACACCAATGTTGGGCTATGGTGATATCTAGCAGCAGTCATCAGCATCCTCATCGCTCCTTCGCAAACAGTTGTGCAACGACGTCCGTGTAGTGCCTCTCAATGTTGCTTCGGCGCAACTTCAATGTGGGGGTTGCGAGACAGTTCTCCGGCGTCCACTCGTCAGCCAGAACACGAACATACCGCACAATCTCGAATGGCCTGCGCCCAGCATCCCTCGCAGTGGTCGCCAGCGACTGTGCCACCTTGGCGTGGAAGTTCTCGTTCTTCAGCAGTGTTTCCAGTGAGCCCTTCAAACCATTCTTTTTCGCAAAGGCAGTTGCCTTTGCCTCATCAGTCAGTACCAACGCACAAATGTACGAGCGAGCAGGATGGACAAGCACGCACACACCACCAGGGAGGCAAAAACAGTTCTGTGTGTACACCGACTCCAACGCCTCCATCGCAATGTACTCGCCCAGCACATTCTTCGCCAGCGCCTTCACACGGCCGATAATGCGGAGAGAACCATTCGCTGTGATGCTGCCCACGTCACCTGTGTGAAACCACCCATCCTCGTCGATGGCCTCCCGCGTAAGCTGCTCCTGCTTGTAGTACCCCTTGAAGAGAAACGGGCCACGCAGCAGAAGCTCCCCTCGTGGTTCCGGCGTGTCTGTGTGCTTGTACTCATCCACGTCGAGCAGCTTCAATTCCGCCGTCACAAGCAGCTGGCCAACATCGTTCGTCGCGATACGGTCCAGGCGCTGCGTCGTACCGCAGCACACCGTCTCTGTGAGGCCCCAGCCCTGAATCACTACCGGACCGCCCAGACAGACATCAAGAAACTCCTGTGTCTCGGAGCTAAGTGGACCACCGCCGCACAACATTGAGAATACTTTTCCTCCAAGAAGCGTGGATGCATCTTTGAATGCCGCCGTGTTCCAGTACGGCGTGTCAAATTGCTTTTTGAGGGCACCCAAGCGTGAGGCGAACGCCTTCTCAAAGATCTTTCGTTTGAAGCTGTTCGGTGATGGAATCTTATTCTCCACATTCTTCTTGATGGCATCAAAGATGCGTGGCACGCCAATAATAATTTTGGGGGAAAACTCCTTAAAGTCCCCGTGTGGAATGGCAAATTCGTCGGTTAGGGTGCGGGTTTTGCTGAACCCCACCAAACTACCCCGCTGCAGGAAGATGTTTACAATGCCAAACTCTAGAATGTGTGCAAGCGGCAGGAAGGCGCAGTAAGTCTCGTCTCCCGTTGACGACGGGTAAAGGTCACTCAGTCGCTCCGCGAGGGCGCTAACGCCCGCAGCTATGGAACCGTGAGTGTGTAAAACGCCCTTTGGGTCACCAGAGGTGCCACTTGTGTACATAATCAACGCCTCAATGTCATTGTCGGTGGGAATCTCCGCGGCACGGTTGGATGCCGCGCCCTTTTCCACAACGTCAGTCCACGCAACGAGACGGTAGCCGGATGTGTCTACGCCCGCGGGAAGGTTGTCGAGACACACAATGAGGGGGTTGAGCGTCTGTGCCCTAAGCAGCGAAATGACGGTCTTTACTGTCCTGGCGTTGCAGATGATGGCAGCTGAATTCGTCTCATATAGAGCGTACTTCAAGGCATCCTCGCCAAGGTTAGAGTAGACCGTCGTAGCGACCATGTTATGCGTCCATATGCCGTAAATAGACACGAGCCATTCCCATCGTGTTTCCTCGTAGATCGTGACAAGGCCCCGCTGCGGCACCCCAAACTCACGTAACCCCGCACCGAAGGAAACAATGTAGTGCCACAGTTTCGCATACGACACCTCCTGTCGCTCACGGTAGTAGTAGTACTCCAGAACGGTCTCCTTACCCTTCGCATTACACGTGGGGCGATGTTCAATCTTCTCCAGTGGGCGGTAGGCGACCGCGGCGCGGGTGTCCAGTTTTTGGCACTGCTCCTTAAGTTGTTGCACACAATTCTTTTGTGTGCGGTACTCCTCCACCATCTGCTGGTGCGTCTCCGCGTCGCCGGTGCGACTGTGGCGGTAAGTGGCAGATGTTGTCGCCGTCTCTGTTCCCGGCACCGCCACGTTATGCGGTCCCTTGTCTCCGGTAAGAAACGGGTGCGGCCTTCTGGACATCTTGTCCCGCTCGTTCATCAACGTTGCAAGTAAACCCCCCATGATCAGCTGAGGGTTAATTTCCGCTTATGACCAAATAAATCAGCAAGTAAAACGACCGGAGTCAACGCCTTGGTGCCAATGCCCCTACACTATTCCCCTGTGTGACGGGCGTGTGTGTCGCCCACTACAAAAGCAGAAAAAAAGAAAAAACGGCGCAAAACCAATGTGTACACACATGCATGCGTGTTGCCGTGTATGTAGAAGACAAATGCTGCGAGTCCCGCTGCCGGCGGTTCTGTGCCCCCCTCCTCCCTCTTCTGTGGGATAATATACCGTCAAAGCCTGTGTTTTTGGTTGTTTGTTTGTTTGTTTGATCGCCATCTCCGCATGCTTGCGGGAGTAAAGTGTGGGTGGGGTTCCTACCATCCTCCCCTCACCCGCACCCGTCATTGCAAGCGGTGGAAGTATAAGGCGGCAAAATTCCT